CATCTAACCCGCAATAAAAATCCTTTAACCTTCACTCTAAGACATAAGCTATTATGTTAATTCTGTAATCTTTTAATATTGCAAATAAAAAAAAGAAAAAAAATACAAAAAAGGAATGCAATCCATACTATACATTATATCTTTAATTATATTCCTAACATGGAACAGAGTCATTATTGTCTCTGCTGAATATTGGTGTTATGATACAGAAGACCCCTTTAACCAAAATGCAGAGCCAGTTAAATGTCCTTCCGTGACCGAAGACACTTCAAATAGCAAATTTTTTAATGTTGGGGTCAAACCAGGTGTTTCGACTAACATGTTTGAAATAACTTTCACTTGTGACCCATTAATTAATGCGACAACTTGCGATAAAGCAAAAAAATCATTTGAGAAAGCAGGAGAAATATTTTCCAGCGTTTTGTTACTGAATACTCCAATACGAATAAATGCTAGTCTAATACCATTGTCTGATGACACAATTTTAGGTGTGTATCATTATTTCGTTAATAAGTTATTCTGGTTTTAACTAGTTTAACAATCATATATTAACTTTTTTGGTAATTAGGATCAGCGGCACCGGCTCGAATAATTCCATTAAAATGTAAAGATAAAAAAATTCGAAATTTTCCACAGTCTTTAGTCAAACAATTTCAATTCCCTACACATCCAGAATATGCAAGCGATGATATTATTGCTGTATTCAATTCTCGTTCAGATTATTATTTCGAAGACGACCCAATAGTCGGCCCTCAACCGATAGGATTTCTAGAATTAATAGTACATGAAATCGTTCATGGTCTTGGATTTATAACAAGTTGGAAACCCCTTTTAAATTCTAATGTAACCACTGAATTAGTTCCAAGATTAAACATAACAATGGATGGCGATTCAACTAAGCCTTTAACATATTATGGATTTGTTGAAACTATATTTGATGCATTTTTAGTAACAGCTGAAGGAGATAAATTTTCAAATTTTACTGATCAATTGAATAATTTTACTCCACTCGGAACAAAATTCCAAAATCAACAGGCTTTTTTGGATTCTTTTATGAATTCAACTCAATATAATATTGCAAAAATGGTATTGAACTATTCACAAACACCAAACTCTATGGTATTTTTAGCAAATCCTCAATCCGAACTCATATGGTTGGAAACTACTTTGTTCCCATATCTGAAAGGAAGTAGTATATCACATTTTAGTCTACAAATTTATGATAATACGACCGATTTTTTAATGACTTATCTGCAACGCCCTGGCCGAAGTTTGGAAACTGCTATGAAACAAAACAATGCAACTTGTGCAATTGGTCCAAAATTACTATTATTACTTGAAACTATAGGGTAATTACTATCACTTGCATGTGCATATAACTGACATCATCTGCGATATGTAATCTGATACTGACACATCATAATATATTTTAGTTATGCAACACCTAACAAACCAAACCCTGAAATACCGTCACCAATAGATCCCCCTCCGGTAAATGTAACAAAGACATCGAAAGATTATAACGTCAGTATTTCCAGTAGTTCACCTAACATATCACGACCTACCAACGCATTGTCTAATGCCGGATGTGTTATAACCAATAATTACGGGTGGATAAATCTCGTGGTTAGTTTGAGTGTTGGTAGTTGGTTTTTTTTACGAGCAGAAGGTTTTAAATTATAAATGATCATTTGAATAGTCTGATAAATAATTTAAATATGTATATTGAAATTGTTTATTGAACTAATTATATATATAAATATAATTAATGTTTAGTTTTTTTGTATTTATTGTTGAAAGTTTTTTCATTCCTTAAATAGTTTCGAACCCCTTTCTTTTATTTAATACATGCATTGCATTTTATACATAGGTCAGTTTTGCCCTTTCTTCCTTTTTTTTTTTCCTTGTGTATTCTTATTACATACGTATGTTCATTTTTTAATATTTTGTTTTTTTTTCATGTCGATAAAAAAAAATATTCTGTAATTTTAGAGATACCCGATCGATACCCAAAACGTTTTTTTAGAATAAACACATGAAAATCATACGTACATTTTTACTGGCTAATCTAATAAATGTGTGACCAAACTATTGCGATTATAAAAAAAAAACTATTTTAAAATTTCATCTCTAAAAAAAAAAAAAAAAGAAATGCCAAAAGCAAAAGCAAAATTAAAAGATTACAGAATTAACATAATAGCTTATGTCTTAGAGTGAAGGTTAAAGGATTTTTATTGCGGGTTAGATG